GCTTTCCAGCTTCTTTCTGGCACAGGTCCTCAGCAGCAGAGAGACTCTGGCTTGTGAATTTGCCCACACATCTATCCTGAGGTGAGAACTACTGCAACACTCCTCAAGTTGCACCTGATGACTTTCCTGTCCCCTTGTTTGGACAAAAAAAAATGCAAAATGAGAATTTGTAGTTGGCAATTTCAGGAGGGACCTGCATCTCTTACCGCTCAGCTACAAAGACTCAACCGAGGGCTCTCACTTTCCTGTCTGGAACTCTTTACATTAGAGGTACTAGAAAGGTCTGAAAGAAGACCCCCCCCCCCCCCAAAAGCAAAACAAAACAAAAAACAACCAACCAACCAACCAAACCACCACCACTATCTACACTTTGGAATGAAGGGAAGCCTAGCAACCATGAATGTATAGGTCTGCAGGTATCTATGAACTGCAATGCAGAGAAGAGGTTATAGCCCATATAATCTCTCCTCACTTGAAAAATTGATGCCTGCTCTTGTTTTTCAGGTATCTTTGCAAGAGCCTGTGGCTCGTGATGTCCTCAAGCGGCTGAGGAAGCCTGCGAGCCCCAGTGAAAGCCACTGCGCTGACAAACAGCTCTCGGCCTCTCTGCAAGCTGAGCTCAAAAGGTCAATCACAAGCTCTGGGCACTTTTGTTTTTCAGGAAATAACAAGTTTTGAGTATTTATTTAAACATTAACAACTTCAGCTCAGCAGCATTGTTACAGTTCTCACCTTAGCAGGGGTGCAAGGGCAGGAGGGGAGAAAAGCGTTAGTAGCTAAATTGGGTTTAGACCAGCTTCAGCCTTTGGACTAGAGTGTTCTCAAGGAGCATTTTGGAAAGAGACTGGGGAGATTAGTTACCAAAAGCCAAAGTTTTATACTACTGCTTGAACCTAACAAAAGTAAACAGCACAGTCTTAAATGCAGCCATTCTAGGGCATCTTGCTGGAGTCTTCGAGGGTGATGAACTTCTGCTATAGAACTTTAAGGAAAAGAAGAAATTCTGTTTTAACTGAAGAAACAGCCTCAGCCCCAGGGAGTAGGAGGGTAGGGGGGGATCTGTGGGGATGGATCAAGTCACACACCCACCTTCCAGCAAAGGGTGACAAGCAAGAGGGAACGTTTCCAATCAGCCGCTATATGGGCTAAGAGCAAACTGAGAGGAATTGCACAGTAGTGTTAACACAGGATTTAATGTTCCAGGTAAACTTAATGCTTGTTCAAAACACTCGTTCTTCAGGCAGAACAGAAAGCTATTGATTAGATGCTCTAACAGCATTAGCGGGTGTGACAGCCACCACAAATTGTCCCTGCTATTAGAAAGAGCTTAGAGCAGACATCCCTGTTACTGCGAGCAGGAGGCTCTGCTCGGTGCTTCAGAGGGGAACAAGGCAAATCTGAACAGTGACGAATCCCCGTCCTTAGCGCTGCTCTGACTCCGGTCTTGTGGAACTCTTCAGAATTCCCTGCTCCCGGCACACTGCGGTGCAGGGGGTACAAGCTCAAGGACAAGCTCCCAAAAAGCACTTAGCTTATTTCAAGAGGAAACTTGATCACGCTCTGCAGACGACTGAGCTGTAAATCAGGTTTCAGATAACTCCCCCAAAGCGTCATTAAGAGGAGCCGAACAGCATAGCTTGTATTAGATAAAAAACACTCCAGCTCACAGCTGTACAGATAAAAACACCTTACAGTGCGCGTTTATGCTATATTGATCTGGAAACCTCACGCTGTCTTCTAGAAGGGCTAAAATAAGCATCTCAGAAAAAAAGAAACACCCCAACTGCATTAAACTGAGTTTTGAGAGAATATTCTCTGCAGAACCTGGGCTCTGCCTACGCTAAACACAGTGTTCAAGAAGGAATCTTATTGCAGCAGTCTCTCGAGCCCTGTGCTCTTGCAGTTGCTGTTTTTGATACATTGTGTAATTTTACACTCCCAACTTTTCCTCTGGCTAGAGGATGAGAAAGAAATTTCACGCAACTTGTTCTTTTTGGAGTTGTTAAATCAAAACCTCTCCAGAACCCGGTCAGGGAGGCAAAAATAAGCTACACAAGTGGCACCAAAACTGAAATTCTACACACGCTCGCACACAGTCACGCTCTGCTTTCCACAGGGCCTATGGAAGGCACAGAGAAAGCAATCGAAACCGTGGACAGAACAAGTATTTTGCTTCTAACTTTACTTACTAAAGTTTTTCAGAGAAAGGCAATTCCATCCATATTTAACAGCTCTTAAAAATATACACATTCAATTGCATTATATAAAGGATAGTCAATATTCAAGGAAAAAAAAAAAAAGAAAAAAAGACATTTCAAGTGTTGAAGTTCTACTGATTTGGAATCCAGACTTTGGTCCTACAGGATATTCCAGTTGACAAAAGGGCCTTGTTCAGATAGCTGGGATCAACTGAATACATTTATTTAAAAGCAATTTTAAATATTAAAAAAGTAGAAATTAACACATACAGTACTCAAAAACTGTCACATTAAATACATGTGAATAGACATGTGTACTGATGTTTTTACCTTAACATTCAATGAGAAGTCAAGATTTAAACTAGTGGCACGACCAGATCTGATTTCTGTACATGTTGATGCACTATGTAATAAAAAAATAAATAGCAACTGTTGTTCAACAGTAAATAAGACATCATCTGCAGAACATACTTCCCCCTCTGGGGGCACCTTGCCCTGCCCTCCCCCCAACCCCTTATCAGCTATTTTTCCATAAAGATTTAGACTTTCCAAATACTATGTCATGTACAAAATTGCAGACAGTGGCTCATTGAGTTCAAATATAATACTGTACTAAACTCAATCAATATCATACATTTTCAGATTTCTTATGACCCACAATAAGCCAGAATAAACAGAACTATTGTTCCCAGTGGAACTCATTTAATTTTATAAAATGCATATGTATACTATTTTAAAGAGCGTAGAAAAGAATAGACATTTGACTCTACATAACTTTACATGCCTAGGTTTTCTTTATATGGTTTGCTTTTATCAGTTTATTTCAAGATGACTTAAAAATACAATTAACCACAAAAGTGAATAGGTTTTGTTCTTTAATGCAACTTAAATCACTGTATTAATGGATAAAATGGAATGCTAAATAAATGCTAGTCCTGACTTCCTTTCAATTAAAAAAAAAATAATAAAGTCTGAAATACTGGAAGTGGTAATACTGAAGATGAGATGCCAGCAGGTTCGCTCGTGTAGTAATTTTTCTTGGAATAAAACTGTCATAAACCATAAAACCATTAAGAGTTGATAAATATTTGCATTTTTTCCATGTTTGATTCACACCAATATTTGTTTCCATACTTGCCACATAAACAGAATTAAATATTCACTGACTACAGTCTCGTAAAACTGGATTAAAAATGAAAGCCTTCAGAAAGTTTGAGATGTGCTTTTATGAAATGAAAAAAAATCCTTCTATGCAGCCAAGACAATCTGCTTTGAAACAGCAGAACTAGGTACTGATGCCAAAATAACATTTAAAGCAAGTAATACAGAACCACATATGAAAGTTATAAAACCTGCTATAGACAAACAGGGGAAGGAGGGGGCAAGACCATAATTTCATTATGTTTTGAGGTTAAAAATGATGTTGAAAGTGAGATAGGAAATGAATGTTTTCACTGCTACATTTAAGTGTTTTCTGGCAATGCAATTTTATACCAACTTTCAAGAAACCACCGGTCAAATGCAACCTTCCAATGATTTTCTTAGAAATTAACTTTATAACAGTATTCTTTCTTGTTGGTGCTTTGAATTAGGACTATTACAAATTCAGTTTAGTGAAATCTACTAAACTAGACACAGCTTGGTACTTGTGATCTGAGTTATATTATTAATAGCCTGATCAAATGCACGAAAGTTCCATCTTAACATCCATTTTTAGAGCAATTACAATAATTTAAATTTATCCTTATACCACCATGTGAGAAGTTTTATTTTAGGTAACTAACTTTTTAGCAAGGTTAAAGACAGGAAAAAAATAAAAACACACAAAATCATTTTTCAAAGAGCCAATTAGCTATAAACAAATACTGTTGCAAGCTCACATTAATTTGAATAGCATTTTTTTTCTGTTCTTCAAATGTAGCTATGTAACTACAGCACTACTTTTGCACAAAGGCAGGTTTCAAGTAAGCATCTAAATGCATGCATAATGTCAACAGTTAACATTTTCTAGAAGTCCTTGGTTACTAAGAATTCAGTGAAAGAAACCAGCAAATTTCACATATGTCTACTAAAGAACAATATGACTAATTTCCATTAACATAAGTTTTCGAATGAAAGAAGTTTGTAACTTTTTATAGTGAGGTAATATCACAGGGGAACTGCAATCACAGTTTGGCAAAGGTCCACATAATATAAACATGAAATGCCGTATGCACACCATAAAACATTACTGTTATCTGTAAAGTCAGTGAATATTTTTCTTCATAATTACACTTAACTGAGTACTATATTAAATAAATACCAAAGTGGGTTTTCATAACTGTAAACTGCATACACTTATAAACTGCAGACTGATTTTTAAAATTGTCCAAAACCATTCACTCATTTCTAACTTTCTGCTAATTGTATATTGAGAATACCGAGCTATTAGGAACAGTCATTTCTGTACAGTTACGCGGTTGATGGAGACCACCTATGTTGGGAAAGCTGGCGGTTCATACAGGTTTTTAACAGCATAGACAGAGATGTAAGTGCTAGATGCCGAGGATGGCTTCGACAAACCCAATAAGGCGTGCCAGGTTCCAAGGCTACCATAATACTGGCAAAGGCAGAATAACACAGTATATTTACAATACATATAATTCAACCTCATGAGGTGAAACTTAAATGAATTCATATTTCGTAACAGCAGCTATATATACAATTGTGCACAGGATTACAGGGAGGCAGCAGCGTTTGCTTTTGCTAAAAAGCCCGTCTTGCATGAAGGATGTGCAATGCTCAAGTTGAGGGTTTCTTGGCTGTTTGTTTTCCTAGTCTGACAGGATGTGCACAAAGGACACTGGGAAGACTCCTTTCCTCTCGGGCTGTCCTTCGATGTGGCCAATCTGTAACACAGCAGGAAAAACAGCAGAAGTTATTCACAGATTGTGTTTACACCATTCAGCAACAGGACTGCACAGAACCCAGGAGCTCCTGAAAGTTCTTGGGCAGCCGGAAACATCATTTAGTTAACGCCAAAATTTGTGTACAGGAACAAACAAACTGTACAAACATACTACAAATAGGTCAAAATAAGCCAATCTTAAAATCAAAACAAAAAGGATTAAAATTGTATTTGGAAATAGAGTGGAGATGCACACACTGCTGAACTTAAAGAATCTCACCAAGACAGGGACCGGTTAGATAAACTTATAGGCACAACAAACAAGTTTTCCAGAATTGTTCATCCTGGCTAAATGAATCAAGCCTGAACACCTCACTTGAGAAAAACGTCTGCTACAAACGTGATGTTACTTATCTTTACGACTACATACCAGAAATCCTAGGAAAAAAGTTCACTTGAAGTGACAAAGGCCACCTACTTTCTCCTTGAAATAATGTGATTCTTAACAATTTATATGTTACTATTTATAACAAATAAAGTGTCTTCTGATTAAGTGTCCTCCATATACAGCTTCTTAAGGAGAACAATTTGCAAAGAGTAAATTGCGTAGCAGTCAATAAAAAAAATAACCAGACAGCTTGCAAAAAAAAATGCCGTCTTGTGTGTGAACTTATTATTATTAAAAGGTGTAGATTATAACCAGCTCTCAAGCCAACAGCCAACGCAGCAGCACTGGCAGAGCGAGGTCTTGCTCAGCCACACAACCCTCCTGCCGTCGTGCAGCAGGGCCGCTCGCTGCCCCCCGAAGGGTAACGCGCCTCCTTCCTCCCCCTGAGCTCACCCAGCGGGAAGGGGAACACGCAGGCCTGCCCGTTCCCTCTCGTACGGCCAAACTCTTGAAGCGTGCAAGTCAACAGCCCTTATTTCCCGCCACACAAGCGGCCTGAAGCGCGTTAATGACCTTGCCAGGCACGGGGCTTTTAAAGGTCCCAGGGCACTGCATGGACCAGCTCCACCGACTGCCATAACAGTAACCAGGGAGCGGATGACGGGGCTGTCACAGCAGCTGTCCCCAGGGCACGGCCTGTGACAACCACCTCCACTGCCCGGCTCGTGGCTGAGGTAACTGGGAGCGACGCCAGGGCCAGGGCAGTGCTGGGCAATCCCAGGCACCTCTGCCTGGAAGTCCACACAAGGAGGGAGAACAATCCCAAATGATACAGAAGAAGGGAAGGAAAAGGCTGATTAACTCCCTGTCCTCTATGAAGGAAAACCAGCAGCACACAGCACTAATTAGAAATAATCTTTCACACTCCCAGCAGCCCTATCAGTATAAATTTAACATGTCTGGTGAACTTTAGATAACTGCATCTCTTGTTTTATGCAGGAAGTATGAGCAGGCTGAAGGAAGGGAAGATGGGACAACACCTCTTCATGCAGGGAACAGGAAGGTAAGGTACATCAGCAGCGATGTCTGTGAGTACAGACTGACAAGGGGAGCTAGCAACCAGGCTGGACCCAGTCAGGGTGGTTTTACCAGTTCCGCAGGAAGAAAGAGCTCCTCCGACAAAAAAAGAAGGCTGCTCTTATCTCTTATATGAATTTAAGCATTGGCTATTAAACAAAAACAAACAAAAAAACCTAAAACAACCAACAGAGGTGGGGAACAAACCCTCAAACCTCAAAAAAAAAAAAAACTCGATTTTCAGGAAAAAAGTCGTATTTTTTCAAGTCAAAGAAATTTAAGTGGACGTATACAAGGAAAGGATACATACCCACCACTCTTGGTCCTCTTCACCGGTTACAATTATTACTTCTCCTTCGACAAATGTGAGCTCATCATCATTATCTGCCTGACAGTCGTAAATGGTCTTCACTCGCCTAACCTTGTTTTTTCCCTAAAAGTATAATGAAGTTTTAGATGAAAGACCTGAGAAGCAGTAAAAACACGTATCATGCAAGCTTTGCTTTTTAGTTAATATTTTATTCTACAAGTCAGTGAAGGCTACCAATTTTTTCCCTGTAATCAGGGACAAAAAATCCCCCCCAAACCAAAAACTCTGCTTCAGCAAGCAATTTAAGCAAGCATGACCTACATAGGTCTAGTCTTTTCTTTAGGCTTTCTTTCTTCTTAGGATACAGAACTCCGCACACTTTAGCATCTATTGCACTGCTCAAGTAACCTACATTTCTTTTGGTAAAGAAGTTTAATGCTTTAACTTTGCTCCAGTGAACAAATATTCCCTTTCCTTTCTAATAAATACTTATATTAAAAAAAAGACCCACATATAGAAACTGAAATTCAGTCTCCTCTGAATGTTATGAGAAATAGGGGCTGAAGAAAATGCTGAATTTAAATCCCAGTATTCCTTACACTTTTGGTTTTGGATCTAGTACAAAAAAATGCAGTATCCTTTGATTTCAGATCTCCTTATGGACTGAATCTGGAAATTATTTTTTTGAATTGCTTTTGGTGCAGAATGTTAGCAATCTCTCACTAAAATAAAATAAAATAAATAAACTTTAATTTCAGACTGCACTACTATCCTGCAGCTACAGTATGAATAAATATTCTCACAGCTTCACTGTTCCAAGCCCAAATATTTTCTAGGTCATATTTTGCTGCATACTGCTAATTCATATGAAAGAGTCTGAGCCACAGACTCCTCCCTGAACATATGTTTCCCAGGGCAGGAAAAAGGCTTTAGATCATTTCCAAATTAAGTAAGCAATTCTCGCAGCAAAATATGCCTGCAACTTTACAGTCCTGTACATCGTATCTATATATCTTTAAAAAGGACAGCTCCTATTTGATCAGGAGCAGTCAGGTAACAGGGGCACAGAAACCAGCACACGGAGATGGCAGCAGAAGGGCTATGAGGGAAAAATCAGCAGGTTTCGAGGAATTAGAGCCAAGAGTAGCTTCACAGAGGACGTTTCCCAGGGTGTCTTCTCTTTGCCAATACCTACGCATTTGAACAACCTCCTATTTTGGCAAAAAAACACCCTGCTGCAGTTCAACAACAGCGTAAATACCTAGCAAAGAGCACTCAGACTGAAGTCAGGTCACAGGATAATTAAAATTACAGAAGGATCCAAGGAATAACACAGTTAATACAATCACGTAACACTAAGAAAACCATACTTTTGAGACAAATGTATAAATTTCACTTCAGGTGTTTCTCTAGCACATCAAAGGGATGTTTTACAGCCAGGATTTGATACAGTAAAAAGTTACTTCAAAGAACTCTCTCTTTAAAACTAATTCACATTATTTAAATGAAAATCTCAACTCTCACAAGGGATTGGAATTCAATAGGAATGGGTATTTGAGGCCAGCCTTGGCTTTTAGCTGCAGAGAACCTTTGCAGACTACCAATTCCAGAATCCTACAGTAATGAAGGGAAACATCTACTGCGTTCTTATTTACATTAAACAATGCCTTGCTGTCTTAGAAACATTTTTATCTCCTTTCTGAAGCTATGGATTTTATAGGAGACAGAGAAAACAAAAAAGAACATTCAAGTGCTCAGTGTGATTTTAGAGCACTCGGATCAATTTTCATTTCTCTACATTTATACTTTCCGCTCCTCACATATTGTCAGTATTCACATTTCATCCTAACAATTCTGAACACCTGTTTCTAAAGCTTCCAATAAAAACTTTTGACTCCTTTGCCAGCAGATGAGCAGCAATTAGAACAGTCAAGTATCCGCTAGCACTAGGGGCTACATTTACAGGTCTCAGCGTGGCACTAACGTGGCATTTCATCAATTTGTGCTGCATGCAAAGAATATTAGGAATAATTTATCATGGGTGCAATATTTTGATCACTCTAAGGCAGAAGAACTATTTAATTTACTGTTCATTTGATAATGGCTGAATTTTCAGAACACTGATTTTTTTCTAATCATTTTCTGTATCAAATGGTAGAAGAGTTCAAAAGATTAATCAATTATTTGCTTTCTTTCCTTAGAAGGAAAAAATAGCAGAGAGCACCCACGCCATTTGCTTCATTATTTTTAAAGGTACATAAACAAATCCAAGTTGCAGACACATTCTGATCAGAGCCTGATGACACCCTGTTCAATTAGCAGAACAACCAGGAAGCCCAAGCAACGACCATCTTGTCCTCAGTTCAGTTAGGAGCCTTCAGACCAGTCAGTGGCAAAAGTCAAGTGGGGAGATGGCTGCAGAAAAAAAGACTGTTCTTCCTCAAATAATCACAAGGGAGAAACTCCCCCTCTGCTTTCAGTACAAGAAGGGAAGTCGTATTTCCTTTTACTTAAGTGCTTTGCATAGCCAATTTGACAAGCAAAAACAACTCTTTTGATGTATTTTTTATGATGAAAACCATGGGAGAGCTCTAGCGTTCCACAAAATGATTTTTCTTCATGCACATACATATGTATGAAGAACCTCAGCTGGCTGGAAGTTGCACGGGCTGCCATGATGGACTCAGCACTGAATAAAGGGACTCAGCACTGCAATTTAGTTGTAATTCCAGCCCTGCTACTGCACAACACCTTGCAACGTAACTTTTACCAATATAATATTTGAATCTTTGCTTCCCACTTAAGTGTACCAATGGTAAACATTCACAATATGAATGTCAGCTGACTTGTATTTAAGTTTTGTATCTACTGACAAGAGGTCCTAATTCCTAACACTTTCAAAAGCAAAATATATATATATGTATAAATACATATGCATATATAAAATCTAAGGCATACATATCAGTGAGCAAAGAAAGCACAGAGGAGCACTGCTTTAATTCAGAATTATAGCTATTATGCATAAAACCACTGAAGTTCCCTAGTAAATCTGAACACATGATCATGCTCCCAACACTACTGTTATCTTACGAGTATTTGTTTTGGCAAGCAAGAGGCTTGTGAATCCCCAGGGTTTGCAGAAGCTGCTTGTGAGCCCAAAAAGCATCTCAACCCCCCCCACAGCCAATACATTTACCCGCTTCATGCGTATAACTTAAGGGCTTTCTTTTTTTTGTGCAAATAGTCGTACAAGAGCATCAAAGCCTTTCAGGGATGCTTTCAGCTAGCTGCAGCCATACCTACCATATTTATTTTCCTGGGGAGCGGCACGGGGGTTTCCGGCAGGGTATGCGCTATGTCATTGGACTCTTCAGACACTTGTTTTTGGACGGGGTCTCTAGATTGTACATTTGGAGAAAGATCTAACGAGTGAGATTTCTGATTTGCCTCTGCAGGCTGAGGCTTTGGTGATGCTTCTCCACCTTGAGTTTTAGCCAACACCTCTCCTAGCTGAGGTTTTGGAGGAAGGTCCTTCATTTGCGGCTTTGGAGGTAAATCTCCAAGCTGTGGTTTTGGTGGCAAGTCTCCTAGCTGAGGCTTTGGGGGCAGCTCTCCAGGCTTTGGGGGCAAATCTCCCACTTGAGGTTTCTGAGTTAGTTCCAGAGGCAGAGGCTTTGGGGGCAGCTCTCCAGGTTGTGGTTTCTGTGGGATATCGATGGACAGCGAAGACTTCTGGAAGATTTCCGCGTGCTGATTGGATTTATCTATTGAAAGATGATGACTGGTTTCTATTTTCCTTAGTGCCACTAAAACAAACAAACAAACAAGCATAACTGGTTTTTTTCCATAATCTTATTTTAACATTCCACTACAGGACTTGGTGAGTATATGGTCATTAAATCACTGACGCCTGGTAACTGCCCATGTGTCTTCTTAATCTGTGGCAAATACCTGACAATGCAACTTTTTTAACCCTGCTTCACTGCGGGCAGTGCTGGCTCTCATCACACTGCTCCTGCACGAGGCCACCAGTGCCAATCCAGAAGTTACCAGGTCACAATTTACAGAGTAGCTAAGGTGAAATAAGGACCTTGAAGAAAATATTAATAAAAGAAACTGTACCATGCAAGACAACTCATCAAGCCCCTGATGTGACTTCAAGGAAAATTCTCTTTAATGACAGTAATACATATTTACAATTGAACTCTAGGTAGAAAAACAGACTAAATTTTAAGATCAGCATCTCCAGCCTCTTCAGTGAGACAGTTCATCCGGAGTATACACAGTATGCTACTATAGTCAAACCAAAGCTAATAAAAATGAATCACTAATTCATTTTTAAATTTATAAATATTACTAAATGTTTATAATTTACTACATGTCAAATGCTTTGAAATAGTGTATTTTGAAGGTTTTTATGGGAGGAAATGGAAAATAAGCAAGTCCGATTTACTTTGTCTCAGTGTCATGACTTCCTTTTTTATTGATCCTACTGCTAAATTCTCTAAGTAAAACTCTAACTGGATAATGCTATGGGACTAGAAATCCAACTTGGAAAACCAACACCCTATAATAAAGGAAATGAAGGGGAAAAGAGGAAAAAAAAATTGTGCTCCATAAGGAAAGCAATGCATTTTGACTAAAAGGAGTAATTTCATCCTGTGTTCAGCTTTGCTTTAATGTCATATTATACCATCCAAAAGGGTGCTCTGATATTTTACAACCAAACCAACACCATTCACTTTGGATATCACCAATTCCAAGTATGTTTCAGGCTATTTTTTATGGTTATTCATACCAAAGAGGAAAATTTCATATAATTTTCATGAAATTGAATTACATAGTTACTCTCAAACATCGTGTTTTTAACCAAGTCTGTATATGACTGTCTCCTAGACATATCTGTTAGCAAATATGCAAGCACTGATCATCCACCTCAATTTAAGTCTTAAGGAAATTATATGAAAAACTGGTACTGGCCCTTATCAAAGTGCTTTGATTGTTGCACCCATATAATTTTCACCCTAAACAAGCTCTCATCTTAAATCAAGGAAACCTGACTTTCTTTGTAGTGATACCTCATCATTTCAATGCTCTTTCAAAAGATGTCTTATCAAAACGACTATTGTTAAGTAAAGTTTAAATTTCACATTTGCATTTTATGTTTGTATTTTATATTAAAATGCTTTACTCCGCATTTCAGTCACCTTTGGAAGTTTAGCCAGCCAGGATCACTTCCTGATTTTAAGGCTCTAAAATAATCATCCACTGAGACACTGACATATGTAATGTGCTTCTGACGGCAGGCTGTGTCAGGTAGCTATGAGGTAGGGTCTGCTGTGAAGTTTGTAGGGAACTGCTGCAAAGAGAACCAAAAAACCTCCTTCACTCATCAGCCAGGTTTCATCTATGTTCTTTGAAGAGAGACTTGAACAAATCCATTTCTAGAAGAGGCCCATGAAATGTCAGTTGGGATCATGATCTTAGCAAGTTTTTGTCACTCGTGCACAAGCAAGTGTGTGACCTACCTGAATTCTTTCCAAGTGGGTAAGAACAACCCTGTTCCCTCAAGACAGAGGTTCTTACAGGCAATGGACACAAGCTGCATCAAGAAGGTTAGGAAAAATAGACCATGAAGTTCAGCTCATGGAGAGGCTACCCACGGAGATGCTCAAAAGTTGATTTTACAGGGCCTTGACAGCCTGATCTTATGTCAGAGTCTGCCCTGCTCCAAGTGGGGGACTGGGCCAAACGGCCTCCGAGGTCTCAGTCTGCTTGGATTATTCTATGATTCTATTTTCCTCCAAGGACTAACTCCTTTTCAGTTTAATAAAAAACTTTTTGACCTTCCAAAATCTTTTTCAGTTTTTCTACAATTTTATTGTTTGCCATCTCCTAGGAATAGTTCTTTTGCTGAAAACGTATTATAATATATCTAAAACAAGTATCAACTCTCATGCACATTTAAAAGCCACAATTATTTCCCTCTTCCCTTCCTTCCCCCCAAAGAAGTTTTTTTTTGGTTTGCTTATTTATTTTTTTACCTTTCTGAGGTAGTTTGGGAAGAACTCTTGGGCCAAGTGCAGTCTTTGCAGTTCCAGTGCTAAAAATCAATACATGAGAATTACTAGTGCTCATAATTGTTACACTTATTCTTTCCCATTTTTACTTCCTCACAACCATAATTTAGAAAAATCTACATTTATACTTATTTTGTATAATGAAGTTTTCACCTTGCCTGTGGGTTAGTCCTGAAACTCAAAGCACTATTAAGAACAGACCACTTTTTCCTACAGAAAAGACAACATGCAAAGCTCATGCAAAACTTTAAGGTTGCAGAGTAGATTTATTCTATGGACGTATGTGCAAAAAAACGTACGCTGAAAACAGGTGAAACTAAAAGAGAACTGAGCTGAGAGATAAGAAACTTTGTCTTTAAACATTAGAGCAACTATACTGAATCACTCAGAATATAATCTGTTCTTTACATTAGCAGCTTGAAGTTTCTCGGATTGAGCCTGTCTTGTCATCCAGTGCACAAGTGGGGTATTGTATATAAATATACTAAGCATTTGCACAAAAAGACAAAATCCTTCCACCAAACACAAAGCTGAGTTGCTTTTCTATAAATGAACTATGGGACCTCCCTGCTGTGTCTCACTCTCGCCCCAAATTATCTCTCTGCCCAAATTCACTCTCTGCCCCTGGGCACACAATTTTGTAATTCTAGAATCATTCTAGTACCAGAGAGACTAAGAAACTCGTTTTGAAGTCTGTAAGACACAAGTCTGTTGAACCCTTCTTGACAAACACTGTGAATGTTCTGCTGAAAATGGATTTTCCTTTGGTTAGTTTATGTATCACCCAAAAGTGCCGCTTTCTGCATTAGCAGCAGACCCTGATATTTCCATACTCAGCTGTCAACAACTACATCGTGCTGTGTCCAGAGCTACTTGTCTCGAGGCACAGTCTAAACAGCCTTAGGTCATGAAAATCAAAAAGGCTCTGAAATACCAGCTATGAAGACCTTTAAATGGCTGTGAGTCACTGTGCTTTCTGTACTGCATGAGGAAAAGGTTCCACGGGCATTTCACCTTGTCCATTTCGTTTTAAATTAAGTAACGAAAAGACTCTGATCTTTGAGAAAATAAGTTGTTCACCGCAGAGCAGATTCTGCTAAATATTGGAAATGTTTCACCCCTGATCCAAGTTACGCCTATTTGCTCAGGCTACCAATCTTATAAGATAATTTGCTTCCTTAACTCAATTTAATCCTAAACTACCATCTGGTTTGGCACCAGCTAAACTCTGTCGTGAAAGGGGAAAATGATCTCAGTGGTGGTTCTGCTTTTGTGAAGCTATGTAGCTCAGACAACATTTGCATTGCTGGATCCCAGCCTCCTTAAACTTACACCACCGCCAGACCCTTCCTGCTCTGAGGCTCTTCTAGCACTGCTGATATTAAAGGGATAATGTGCTTTTTCATGAGATTTAGGCTGATTTCAAACGCCTCTCCAGAAAAGGCTACAAAGAAGAAAGCAAACTGATTCAAGCTATTAAAAAAATCAGTATCACCTCAAAATAATTAACTTAAAACAATGAGGAAAGAGTAGATAAGCAAGTCAGGAACTTGCTAAAATATGTTCAACAGAACAGAAAGTTTTCTGCTTCATGAACAACCTTGAATCTGGTATTACTTATCCCTGAACACTTTGAAATGAGGTTAAACAAACACTTTCAGCTTCAGTTTCTAGGCCTGATTTAAAGACAAAAATATATACTAATGCAAAACTGAAAGAACAGCCAAACTCAATCTTGCATCTGTAAATAATTAGCTATCCCCTTAGAGTCCTAACTACTATATCAAGAAAAGCCTCACCCCTTCACCCTGACGTTACGGATATCAAACATGGCACCAGCTCCTTACACTGCAGACCAGCACTTATTTTCTTCTGAATACCACAAACCACCTGGAAGGATTCATCACATAACACAAGTTCTGATCCTAAGGACGAATCCAACGCGTGTCAGTTTGTTTTATTAAAAAGTGCATGTCAGCACACATGCCTAGCAGGCTCGGATGCTGTTCACCTGGAAGACTGAGACTGGTCCTCTCTCTTAGGGAGGCTACTTCTATGCAACCTACCCCAGGAGTGACACCACGAAGCGTTTTGTTTTTCTACAGCACCAGGCATGATACCTCAACACTAATGATGTCCGTAACTGAGGTTCTACCTCATATAAAAGGCTAATTTTTCTTGTTTACACTCAGATGCATTAAGATAAATGCTCATCTTCAAAGTTATAGACACTGATTTGATTTTACCTTGACTGCTGAGACATCCCCTCAAACTTGTTTGCAGCCTTAGTTGAAGGTGGGCCCAAATCATTACCTGAGGTAAAAAAAACATTAAAAAAAATTAACAACATTAAGAGAACCGAAATGTATAAATTTACATCAAAGTCACACCTTTCCAACTATCCTCTACAGAACATGTCTAAATATTTAAAGATTGATCTTTATTAATAACTTTGTAAACTGAGAAAGATAGAGGGACTGTAACAATCCTCCAAACTGGTCTGCATATAACACACATTAGGAACGAGCCACTCGAAGCTGACATCTGCTGGCAAGGAAGAGCTCTGAGTTACGCTGCTCAGTTACTGCTGTACGGAATCGCTTTTCTTCTTTTCTTCCTCCCTCAACACAGTGTTCCAATTTTCTTAGAAACAGAAGGAAATACTGCAAACCAGCATCCAGATAAATTTATGGCAGATGCTGAAGTTTTGCTCTATAAGGTGCATCTTTCTAAAATCATGTTAGCCTGACTTTATTCACAAAATATCAAATTTGTGTGGATCGACATTTTACTCTACAGAATCTTTAAACCAGAAGGGTCTACACCTCAAGTCAATGATACCAAAACCTGAATTAACTTCCTGATAAAGACAAGCTCCTAGGTTTACTCAGTTCTGTCAAGAAGCAGCAAAATCTGAATCCTGGTGCTTCTGAACTCTTCCGGTACGAAAGAGCTCCCTCATTATCACCACCACGCCCAAGGTACAACCACATACCTATCTTGTTTTAGTGTATTTATCATACCCCTTTCCCTCTCCTACAACAGCATGTCTAAACAATCTTAGAACCAGCTTCAGAAAATTACATATATTTCCCAGGGACAACATTTACCAAGAAGCAGAGCAAAGGCTTTGCTATGCAAAGGCCATCTGAATCTCCCATTCTTAAGGCATCAGAGTCTACATGAAATAATGGTGACACAAAAATATTTTTGGAATTAGCTTTTCCCCATCCCTTTACCTGTTCCAGCCAATATAAGATATCTCTCTACTATAGGATCTACTTTGTCATACATGGGTACTCACCCTGAGCAATGAAATTATAGAAACTGTGATAAGACTGCAGCCAATCCTATGTCATAATTAGATCTTAAGGAGTAACAGTCCCTTAAATTTCCTTAACTTTCATAAATTTCAATTGCTGCAGAGAGGCTAATGCTGAGTCTTGTTAAAAGTTTTAAATCAAGAACAAACACTAAATCCTTCACATGCAGGCCCTATGGATAAAGCAAGGAAAAATATCTCATGGTTGCTATAGAAATACAAAATAATCTACATGCCACTTTTAAAACATCTCTGAATAGTTACTTGATTTCGTAGGATAAAACTTACAGATTGTTCTGCTTGAACTCTCAACGTATAGGTGAGAAAAATGGCGAAGGACAAAGTAGCAAGAAAAATGACGAGAGAGAAATGAGCTTTTGAAAAGTAAAGCTGTGAATTTGGGCAAAATTCTTAAACACTCAGCAGAGCAAAGGCAGATAGAAAAGCCTTCCTCTTTAAATAACTTTACGATACTCAAAAAAGTGATCTTTGTACAGTTCTCATCTAAGGGGGAAGACAAGGCTCCTCTTCCATCCACAGAGATTTGCCTGCAGAGTATGGCAGATAGGAGGAAAAAAAAAAAAAAAGTTCTTTTCTCTGGCCCTGCTTTGAAAAGCTACTTCAAAGTTTTTCAGCTTCTATTCCACACCTACATCTTCCCATATTTTCCTTCTCCTTCATCTCTTCTTTTTAAGAAAAACTGATACTAACTTAACATCTGCTCCCATCATAATTTTCATTCTGCAAGTATTAGATTCCACAAGTGTTATGCTAAAGTGTGTGGTATTTTTGGTGCTGATTTGGACTAAAAGATCTTTTAATTTTGAAGTCCGAACTCCTCAGAAATGTGTTGACTACTGCTAAAACAATACAGGGCTATTAAAACTGGCAGGAAGGGCAACACATTTTCCACATCACAGTTTCTAAAAAAAAAAAAAAAAAAGTAGAGAAATGCAAAGATTATCATTATTTCTACTTCTTAATAAAAATGCATTTCTTTTCATTAGACTCTATACGTTTCTTTATATTAAATCCTAGACTAAATCACATATATGCTACACATGGGTACTACATGATTTAAGACATTTAACTGAAGTTAAATTCAAATTTAATACTTATATTCCCCCTCGTAGAAAAAAAATATACTTTTAGGTTTGCTGGAGATTTTATGTTCATAGTGAAACACAAAAAGAATACTCAGAGATCTGAGTAGTATATGGATGGCCCCGTCACGTAAGTATTGGATTACAACTCAAAAGTTAATGGGATTTGAGGAAATTGTGCCAGCTATTCTAAAATCATAGAAAATTACATGGGCCTGTGGTTTATAGCTACAGGAAAAATTTGACTGCACAGAGAAATCTTTATTAAAAAGAGAATGAATCTGTGTAGGCAGGAAAATAATTTTTAAAAAGTTTCTCTCTGAAAGGTAGCCTGGTATGCAACTTTTTTATTTTTTAATTTCTGTTGCTGGTGGAAGGATGCAAACCTATCAGTCTTTTGATATGTAGAGGCAACATCACAAAACCTAGAAACATTAAGACAACACATCCCAACCACTTCGTTATGAACGCTCTGCAGGAGGGACTTGGCACATAGACCAAGAAAAAAAAAACAACAACAAAAAAAGCCCCTTACTCTGCCCCTGGGAGAACTGCACAGATTTACTGAGGTGCATCTGTCCAAACCAGGTCTGAATTCTGGTTCTCATCCAGCTGAACCAGCTGGTGAGACAGCAGCAGGGTGAGGAAGTGGCAGGAGAGCAGAGGCGGCAGGAGGAGGGGGACGGGGTAAAGGCAGCCTAGGAGGCTGGTGAGGCCACAGGAGGTTGAGTTGGGCTGCAGAGAAACCTGGAATATCACCAGTTTCCCCAAGGGAGACTTGGGTACAGAAAGCTGGAAGCTACAGAGACAGAAGACAACCGCTGCTCCGCCTGACACTGCAACCACTGGGAAGCAAGCGCTAGGCGAAAGGGATAGGAGGTTACGGAGCGCCCACCGGAAAGGCCTTCCCCTGCCCTCGTGCTTTGCGTTTCGAAAGACTCACCCCAAGGAATTGGGCCCTTATTCTGGGGTCCGTGAGGTAGTGGGCTTGGTGGGTCGGACAGGGTTCGTTTGTGTCCCGGGGGCGGGGGAGGAGGCCTCTTCTTGGACAGGGTGGAGCTGCCACTAGAGGCCGGGGTGCCTAGAGGGAGGGTTGAAGGTGGGCCTGCAAAACAAGACAGTCCTCTTACACGGGCACGCCATAAACATCAAAGCAGCACCAGAAAGTTCAGTCAGACCACAGCAAGGTGCAGCGAGACACTAGACCCAGCGGACGAGCCATGCCGAAGCGCTGGTGAGGTGGGACGAGACAGTCGCCGCGCTGCCGCCCGGGCTAACCGCGGCACAAGGAGCGACCTGGCGAGAAAACGACACACGTGGATCGTTCAAAAACACAGCGTTAGTCACTCCAGGAGCTTCCATTTTACACATTGCCATGACAAAGTACGTGAACAATCTTAAGTAATATTTCGCATTTGGATTTAAGATAGCTTTACACCAGAATGAAGTATCTTTCTAGATACTCTCTTGTGGAGGCGGGGTTTTTGCTCCAGAGCATCCTGTATTAATTCTGTTAAAGCAAATAAAGAACAAAAGCCATCTTCAAAACTTGAAAATAGGATTCTAAACTTAATACATTTTGTTAGTTGTTTTCCTTTTTCTTTGTGGCTTAGCTATAGCAAAACACATTCTTACAGTATGACACATTATTGTTTGCAGGTGTCAGAACAGACATCAGAAAATCCCTTTCTAAGGCTGAGATTAGATATATTTTGGTAGCATTGCTCATTATAGATTAGTAGTCAGCCCTGTCCTACCCCAAACACCCTGGATTTCCCCTTGCCATGACCCTGACACAAGCGCCACTTAACAGGATATGGACATAGATACGGATTAGGAAGGAACAGCAATGTTTCCCCGATCCACTTTACCATTCACCACCATAAATGCTTGAATGAGCTCAAGGAAGCAAGCAGAGCAGGGCCCAAAATGCAGTGAGAGGAAAACTGCTTCAGCCCACTAACATTACTGCCAAAAAAATAATTGAAACATTTATCTAAATTAGGTCCAACAGAGTAGCTTATTTTTTCCACCTTATTAAAATAGTTTTCCTCCAGCCCATGTTCCTGCAGCAAGTCCTACAAGAATGATAGCTTTGCCATCATGGACTCCAGATAAATGCAGATGTCTGGCCATATAGTTTTGAAAGCAAAATCTATTCATAGCTGGAAGTTCAGAAATAACATATTTTAAAATGCTACAGAATCTTATTTATTCCTGAAAACATAACTTATTTTAACAGTATTTGAGCAAAATTTTGGTTTTGTTAATCAGAATGTACCCTAACTCACACACAGAGCTAAAGCTTCCTCCTTGGAAAGATTTATTTTTAATCTCTACAGTAAAAAATGAAAATTACCAAAGTCTGTGCTCCTTCCCAAATCACTGCATTTCATAAAAGTAATAAATAAGTGTAGAACACCTTTCAGTTGGTCACCTCTTTCTTTCTTCCTAGCCCCTCGAGCAAGATTAATGAACCTGCCCATAATGAGGTGCTGATCCAATCTACTCTCTTCCAGGTTCAGGCCTGGAACCCCTCTCAGGGCACAGCTGAGCATCTCAACCATAAGACCAGCAGATTTGGGGCATGGCCTTGTTGTTCATTTCTATAAATACACTTTCTCTCTATTTCAGTTACTCCCAAGTTCACAAAGCCATTAATTGATGAGTAGTGAAATGCTAGTGCAAATTAGTGAGACTGTGATCCAATTTTTAATTCTTTCTTACTTTCATTTCTTCCTTGAGCTTCAGTTATTTAAGAAAGCAACAAAATTTAAACCACATTTTAAAACTAATTTCTGACAGCAAAAACAAATAGCATTTTTCTTGCTAAATTTTGACTGAAGAACCTCTAGACTTCAGCAAGTTGGAAGTCCTCTAGTTTGCTTAAATGCTTCTGAAAAAATTCCATTCTAGAAAACGCAAGTAACTCTGGGCACATTTAGGAAATGTGGGGTTGAAAGGAAAATTAAATAACCAGTATTAACATCAGTATTTTTTATAAGCATACAGAAAACATACATAGTATGTCAGTAGAAAAATCCTATGCTGAAATTTCCAGGTGGAGTTACCTACTTCCAAAATGTCTGCAAGCAGGAACTGCAAACACTTCATAAGCTTCCATCCTACCACCACCTAGTGTCCTATTATTTGAACTACACTATATCCCAGTTCCAGAATAAAAGGCAGTTGGTTCTTCCCCCATGCACATTCACAAGTAGTTCAAACTTCACTTAAAACATGAGGAAATATTTTGAAATAGCCATTACAGGCTTATTGCGAAAATACTACTTCAGAAACAGAGTGACTGCAATTTGAGCTTTGCATTGCCAATAACACGAAGACATCTTGCCCACAAAAATAATATTCAGTATGAGATTATATAGGGGAAAAAAAGTATGTCACAGGACATACATAGTGTGTCTATAGATGTCATAGAAAAGTTTTAAAATGTTATCCCAACACAGCTTTCAAAAGTTTACATGGTACCCAGCAATTTTAGGGAAAAGATGCTAACAGCTGCTCTTACCAGATTACCATCATATGTTATTATATTAGCTTTATAACTGGGTAAATGGAGTGGATAAACAGAAATTTAAAAGTCATAACATACTCCTGATTAGATGGCTGATGGAAACGCTTATAAAATAATGTTTTTTCAAATAAGTAGGAAATAAGGCAAAACTTTAAATGATTTCTCATAAAAAACACATCATGTTTCATATAAAGCCAATGTGGAAACACTCTGGAATCTAGCACAATTTACAGAAACAGGCAGTGAAGTAATACTCAGGTCTGATGACACATTAAGTACAGATAAAATTATCAAAATACTTTATATGTGTTACATACAATATATTTTACAATATGCATTCATTCTCATAACACTGTTATAGGCAAGGTAGACATTTTCTTCCTGGTTAGAATTACAATGTATTTTGATCTAGAAGACTAACTGCTCCCCAGTTAGTACTTAGAGATAAGCCAACCATTTCTTCTCCAAAGTCATCTTGATGATGACCTCTCACAGTGGTGAAGTTCCCATCCCAGGGCAAGTGCTTCCTCACATAAGGAACACACACAAAATAAATAAAAGACAAAGACTTTTTTTATATATTCTGTTCACTTTGGGCTGTTTTTTCCATTATCTGGGTGGTAGCTGCTTTCAACAGAAGCAATTCTCATCTTTTATCTCTTTTTCCTATCACAAGCATCATGCTTTCCTATGCAAACAGACTTATTAAATTAAAGAACTGGAAAAGGTCTGCAATTTATAGTGTGCTGCTTTTCAGCCTTTGTGGAGTTAGTATAGTACCTGTTAACTTGTGCACTAGTGACAACATGCAAAGCTGTTACCAACCACTCCAAAAATAGTGTTTTGATAGTGTAAAAACCTCACATTCGTAGCCATATTTTACCACTTAATGAGAGCTATAGAAGAACCAGTATTCCAGTTAAGGCTAGAAGAGGTACTGCAAAGAAAAGTAAGTTTGCATTAAAAATGGCATTTTCATTAACAAATATTGTTAGCCTTACTTCTCAAGTACTTATGAGTGACAATTTCTGCATTGATATTACTAAAAGCCCTCTTCAGTTTGTCTTCCTTTAGTCATATATCTTTATTACTGAAAATAAGACTGTTAAAGAAAAAAAAAAAACCAATAATCAAGAGAGCTACGATTAAACTGATTCAAAAATAACATCTGAAATACAATTTTAAATAATGTTAAAAAAATATCCTGTTAAAGGAAAGAAGAAAAGTCAAAACTTACATTCAACAATTTTTGGACTGCTGCACAAACATGAAAACAAATGAAACATGAAAATAAATGTCTGACAATTGGCCTTCCCTTGCTGTTCCAGTACTAAGAGCTAACTCGATTTTATTTAACCAAAATACATAGCACATTTGCAAGCATTCTTTTTTAATAAGTCCATAAGCACGTGAGAAGGAAAGCTGCAATACGGCATCCTGACTCAGACAAAGAGGAGAAACGGGATGACCTCAGAGACAGAGCTAACAGAAATGAGATAGAACACAACAGTAATGGGGATAAGGTTAACTTCTGCTTAGAGAAATTGTACTGTTATACAGCTAGTTTTCAATGATGAGGCACCAGATTATGTAGAGACTGTCTGTATAATGCCTGGTGTACGATGCGACAACCATGGGGAATGAATAAATAAATAACCAGGACAAAAAGCTGTTCTGACACGGTGCTTTCAGTAGGAGGAGGAATGTTTCGATGCTGCTCCTGCAAGACCTCGGCCACAAATCTGCACGCAGTTCCTGTGACCCAGGTTTAAGAAAGCCAGTTTCAACAGGAGGGGTGCAGAGAAGGCACTAGAATGAAAGGATAACTGACACAGCAGGAGAATAAAAGGCTATTAGATTAGGAGAGGGAAAAAACTGCTTGGTTTGTTTAACAAAACAGAAACAGGGGCCCGTAGGACAGCTCTCCAGCAATGTCTTGATAAAAATATGAAAACTCACTGTGGCTTTGCAATTAAGCTGGGGCAAACTTTTTCTCATCTCTTGTGCTTAGTCCTATTAACTACTTCACTACTACTACACCAGTAATGAATAAAGTTAGATAAACTACTGAGAAAAAAGTACAGGGGTTTCATTCTGCCTATTAGGACTAACAAAAACTATAGCAGGATGCTGGGAATGTACCCACAAATGAGCTGGTAGTGAGGAATACATCATGTCTTAGCCAATATTCATGGTCAGGTTAGGACTAACTTGGACTTTGCAGCAGAACAGCCGAAGTGCAGGCACATTTGTTGCACTGCTGCTGCAGGAACCTTCACTTCCAAAGTGACTGTACATACTTCAGGATTATCAATAACCTAAAAAATTCACCAGCTCTCTGCTTCCTGAATGCAAATAAAGCCAGAAGTAATCTCATTCCAGCACACAAATGTTATCCAACTAGTAAATTTGGTCTTACATTAACATGGGGTATGGGAGAACCGAAAGAATTCTAGAATTTGCACATACCAACAATTAAAAAAAAAAAATCTACCTAGGCGGTTTTAACAATGGATCAAATTAACTCCTAAGACACCAAATCTGCCAATTTGAATGTCCCCAAGGATATCCATCATCGTGAAGCGTTTAAAACCTCTATCTCTTTCTAAAATAATGATCCCCCTGCTACAGATTGGCTCCATGCTCTACCTGGGCCCCATGGTACCTGCTGGGGCCACACAGCAGATCAGGGGCCAAAATCAGATTAGGCTCAGGGACAGTAGGTGAGTTTAAATTTTGTTAAGGATTTAGTTAAGGATTAAATGCTGACAAAGTGCAGCACACTTCATAATAAACCACAAGGGCACCCACAGTGGCAACCAGTGACTTTCACATTCTCGTGACTGTTCTTAGCATTTGTCAGTTTGTTCCTTGGTCCTAATCATTGCGAGTGTAAGTCTGCATACAATGGATGGTTCTAAAACTCAATACGTGGCAGTGTCTCTGTATAAAACTCAACCCAAAATACAGCATCACTAGCAGACTGTAAAATTTGGTGTTTTGGAAGCAAAAAAAGCTGGTGACCTAAATTTAGCAGAGTTCCACTCCACCTCTCACTTAGACTTACACTGTGACTCTTGACACAGCAGGGTACATTGCTATGGCCACTAGAAGGGAATGCTTCCCCAACATTTTGTGATATCTTAATTATATTGCTGCAGTACAAATAAGGATTTCTATTCCTTAATCCTTGAAATGAAAACAAAATAATTTAATGTGTCATTTCTTTCAAGTTAGCTTCAGTGTTGAGTTGATTCACTCATGTGGGAAACAATTTGCAGAAACAGCTAAGCAAATACTTAACATTCTGACACTTGAACACATACATAGAAAGAAACATATATGTAAACATTCCCCTATCTGGACAAAGGCAATTTTATGAATAACCTGTATGTGAACTATAATATACAATGACAAAACAAAATTATTTTCTTTTTAATGCACTGAAAGTTGACAAGGCATTGAAACCTGTACACATGGACCGGAGATACAAGCTCCTTAATCTTATTAAGAAAACATGCTTATGTTTGGTTCCAACTCTTGCAACTCTTTTGTGATCAAAATAAAAAGTTACCCTGGTCTAGACTGAACACATAAACCAGAGTTCTGATTTACTATTCTGTTGGTGGAACAGTAGCTTTTAGGCATAGTACTTAAATCATGTAACAGCAGACATCTAACATCAAACTCTATTCTGTCCCCCCTTTTTTTCTTTTATTTAATCTTACACATTTTACTGAGAGCTCTTCTTTGAAAATAAGGTTAATCAGAAGTTGAAGAAATGAAATACGAAGTGAAGACAGCACAGTAGGGACAACCACTATAGTCTTGAACTACTTCGTAGCCTTCATCACAACTCAAGTTCTCTAGCAAGTCTACCGTAGAAACACAATTTGGCTATTTCTAAATTAGTAAAAAAAAAATGTTGTTGTTCTAAGACTAGACTTCTACAAATTGTAGTGAAGTTACAGGTTTTGGTCAGTATGTCCCCTAAAATTGAAGCTTATTGCTATCTAGGCTGCAGAATCCTTATCCACAAAGACTGCAGCTATAAACCTCTTATGAAAATAAGTTCTCTGCCCATCCAAATGCTATCACCAACAGAGTCACTGTTACTATTAATCACAGAAGAGGAAAAAAAAAAAGCCTCTCATCCATTTGGACTGAATGTAGATGGCAATAATGATCCAGCTGTGGCCTTCCTTTTGGTCAATGCGACAAGAGCAAAGAGGTTGTTTCGCTCCAGACTAAGTGCGTTTTAACACTGATCTTCAGCCTGTGACTTGTTAACCATTGGCAACTGGCTGGGTACCTCCTCTGCAGTTCTTTATACCTTATCTTTATACCATCTTCTCTTCAAGTGGAATGGGCATCTTGGTGCACTGAGAGGGAAGGAAAGTCTAACACCAACATGTCTTGTCCCTCACAGGTCGTTCTGGTACTCTTCTCTTCCCACACAGTTGGACTGCAAGGAGAAGTCTTCTTGCACCTCCTTTCCTTCAAACCTTTGTTTCTTTTCCTTCTCTGCCAGACCTTACACAGCACATCATCCTACAGCACTACCCACCACCAGAGATTGTTTTACAGGCTGGTACAATACATGCTTCTGCAAAATATTAACAGAATTTCTATAGAAAATGAATTCACTTTTATTTAGCAGAGTTTGTTACTGTGTTTTACCCATTTGAGGACAGCTTTATGAAAATGAATCTTATTTTTTGCTTTTGAGAGCATGCATTAAGCCATATTAAAACATTAATGTAATACAAAAAAAATATTATACCTTGAAAAGAAAGGACAACTGTGTAAAAAGACACTGCTTTTCCAGAGTAGTTTGAGGACAAGCTTACCTTTGCCAGCATTTCTAGGAGGGAGAGGAGGAGCATCTGCAGTTGGAGAGGTTGGTGAATCTGTGCTTGCAAAAATCTGATTGGTGAAAGCTCCGTAAGAGAGTCTTTGCTTGTCTCTAGGAGTGCTAAATCCAGGAAGAGTCATTTTGTCTTGGGGAGAAATACTAGAGGAGTGACAAAAGCTTTGGGGTCTTGGAGATCTTTCCTTTTTTATAGGACTAGGCTGCGAATAGAATAAAAAAAAACACATTATAATAGCTGTCTGAATATTAAATGTAAGTAACATGTTTGAGAAAAAGAAAAAAGAGACCTTATTTATCCAATAAAGAAAAATGCTGTGCTCGTGTTGACTAGAATATGTTTTATTATATTCTCAGACATCCAACCTGAAAGATGCTCTCCTCTGTAACTGAAAATTAAAGATTGTACTATCAGCAAATCAACATGCACCTGAAGTTAGATTTAGCCTTAAAGCACTAGATACATGTTGATAATACACTAAATAATGTACTAAAAAAGCCTAGTAATTCTTTTTAAAGTGCAAGTGTAACCTTCAATTCAAGCACTAATTCATGCTCACCTTGTCATCTAAGTCATCGTCACTTTCATCAATTTCTTCCTGACGAAGATTCCACTCATACTCCACGTGGACGTGAGGATTTAGCTTTCCTGCCTTGGCTTGAGAAAGCTGGGGGAAAAAAAAAAAAAAAAAAACTTAGTAAAAAGACTTTCTATGCCTTTGGCATCCACACAGTTAATTTTGTCATAACGAGTAGCAAATATAAATATTTACAGTTTTAGAACTTGATCTTATGTTAAAGACTTTCAGGTCCATTAGACCTTCTTCCTTTTCTTTAAGATTTTATTTCAAATATGTAAGAATAAAAGCCAAAAAGGCCTTTATGCAGAGAATTAGAAATACTTAGGCCAAATGGGGAGATCTATGTTCATTTCATCATAGAGTTATTGGAAAAATCTATTTATAGATTTGGCAGTATACAACTTTTACCTCCAAAAAAATCACTATCCTTGCGTTGCAGTCACAGTAAAGGAACTGACCCCTTATTTAAATATTTAAGTGGCCTTTTTTCTCCCTACCAGGGAGAAATCAGGCTAATATAATGCGCATAATTCTTTAAACTGCCGGTTTGCATATTCACATTCTTTAAAAAACTACTTCTGCAACCATCAGCTAAGAGAAAACTGCAGTTCATTAATTCTTGGAAGTAACAAGTTCTCCATTGCAGTACTCAGAAGTCTCATCATTCTCTATTTCTGCACAGTCTTTGAAACACAGTCTCTTTGGTAGTAGCTATTCAGGAGAGCTTATAAGCAGACATGATTATCCTTAAATAAGATTTGAAAGAGATAACGTATTTTCAACCTGCTGTGTAAGTATTAATGCATCCAATTTAGTTGAAATGCAATGGAATTATACAGCTAAGGCACTAATTAGTTGTAAAGCAAATCAGCTCAGTACCTCTATCACACTGCAAGCATTTAGATATTTATTTTCTATATTTTTGTGCCCACAGGCCCAGTCATTTCTTTTACCCTTAGCTTCATCTCCCTGCCAATTTTAAGAAAAATTGAAAAATAGTTTTCCTTTTCAAAATGAAAAATAAAAAATAGGCATAAAACACTGCTACAGTTAACTGAAAATCTGAAGGGTATTCACAGAATTTCAATTACAGGATCTGAAGCGATTAACTCCTAGATAAGCTCACCAGCAATATCCAAGGGTTTTGTTCTTTTTTGTTTGACCTTAAACACAATCAAGTGGTCCACACTAACAGCAGGCATTGCTTAACAAAGAATATGTTGCAAAAAAAAAAAAAATCCCTTCAGCTGTGTGTTGCAAAGAAACTGTTCTCCAGCTGAGAGAATACTCAAACCCTGGAAAAAGCACCAGAACTGCAGATGTGGAAGTAATGAAGTCACAGAGAGTACAACCTTATCAACCATAGCATAAGGTTAACCTGCATCCCCAGAAAACAGGAAAACAGCTCTGAATTTTGAAGGAAAATCTCTCTTGATAGTGCAGTGTTTAATTATTACATGTCAAAAACTTTCAGTTGCTAAATAAAAGATATTAAAATTAACAGCTGCAGAGAAGACACCCATTTCCTTCTTGGATTGTCAAAATGAGAGTTGGAAAGTTATAAAAAACAGAATCAGACTGCAAATGATTACTGTTTTACAGATTCTTCTGTATTTGTCCTATACATGAAACTGTACAGCTTCAGCTTTTTTTTTTTATTTCTTTGATAGTACTTGCTTACTAAGGCACGTAATCAAGCATCTTCGAGCCTGTTTGTCCTCAGACCTTTTTGCTCTAATGCAGAATCCTTATTCCTGGATTACTGCTTCAGCAGAGTATCTGAGAAAATCCCTTAGCTCCAATACCTTTATTTCTTCAACTTCAGTTTCTGCCCCTTGACATCTCTCACATTCTGGGGATTCCAGAAAATCTGGCCCTGACCATGATTAAAGGAGAGAAAAACTTTCGAAGATAGAAGTGTTCTATATTTTTGCTACTCTAGCTCACAGACTTTACACTTCAGTTTGGTCACTATTTTCCTTCTTTGTTCTTCAAGGATGTTTAGCTTTGTTTCAATTCTTCTTTACGGGAAACTTTCAGGACCTCTCAACTCTCTAACTGTACCAAATAGGCTGGAAAAAGCCAAACAGGAAAAGCTAAGCAAAGCTGCAGACCTGAAAGCTTTTCATAGACTCAGTATTTTCGGGACTGATTTGTGCTCCTGACAAGCACAAATGTCTGTAAGCAGAACATGGGAGTTGAAGAAATTCCATGTTCTAAATTGTTGCAGTAACTGATTTTCAGATAAATACCAAAGCCATGAAATTAAAGGGCTGCAAATGGGCTGGTTAAAATAGTTAATTATTCCAGTAGAAAATAAACTCTTACACTTTCTTATGCACTTATAAAGGAATGAAATGAAGACAACATATTGAAGTTGCTCTTTTTTTTTTTTTTTTTTAATCCAGCTATGGCAGAGCTTTTAGAGGAGCCTACAGACAGTTAAAAGGAATACCAAGGGTGAGATACAGCAGTGAAGGATACTCTACATAGATCATATCTTTCAAGAAGTAAGCTTCCTTTCCTTTATTTAGTTCCTTACCAGTTCTTCACATTGGGCAGCTTTCAATCTTTTTGCTGTGTCCAGAGCCGTCTCTCCAGCTTGGTTTACTACAAAATTAATAAAAACAGTATATTTTTGAGATGTCTACAGAATCATTGAGTTTCTGCATTTTTAGCAGAGTAACTCCTAAAAAGACTTAAAAATGTCTGTGTTCCTCTATAGCAGCTGCACCCCGCAGGATTCCACTATAAGTGCTCATGCACTTCATGTATCATCGGGCTTTTTCTGAGCAGCAGCATCTGCTGAGACAGTCCCCATGTCCCTGCCAACCATCCGAGCAGAGAACACAAAACGAGGGCATCCCAGACCCCAGCTGCAGCAGAGGGTGCTCTGCCCCATACCCAGATTTAAAGTTTTGCCAAGTGGCCATATCTGTGTAATATTATCTATAGAACAACAATAGTGAATTTTAGAAAACCTAAAACAGCTATCTAGAAAGGCCCCTTTCAGGATGTCATTCAAAGAGGGCTTTTATTTAGAGCAATGAAGATCTCTGCAAGAAGGAAGGCTCATTATGAAAAGACATAATGGAGGATTAGAACTTCTAATATGAAGAGCAACGTAAAAATATTATTTCTTAATTCAAGTTAAAACACCGATCACTTGAGAGACTATATAAATTCCACACTTTTAACCTTTAAGTATAAACATGATGGTTTGAGGCTTAAAGAAGATAGGAAGCTCCTGTGTGAAATCTCAAGAAAGAAACAGTGGCCCAGAAAGGTAAGGTCACTCTTACAGCATCTACCAAATAGTGAGTTCAAAAGAACCACCAGTGGATCTGCTTCAGCTTGTTCGATTAGTTTTCTTATTTTATTATGTAGGAGAAAAAAAATAGTTTAATTCTTTAACCTATGATAGTGTTACAACATATGCAAGTGTTCTAAGCATGTGTGAAAAGCCAAGGAAACCAATGATTTCTGTGGCTGAGTTAGAAACCTGGTTTTAGGCAGTGGTTTCTGGACTGGAGAGGTGGAAGTGTTCTAAGCATGTGTGAAAAGCCAAGGAAACCAATGATTTCTGTGGCTGAGTTAGAAACCTGGTTTTAGGCAGTGGTTTCTGGACTGGAGAGGTGGAGGAAGATGATGGAAGAGAGGGAGGTCCGGACGTTTTGCCGTGCACACGGCTGTTTAGAAAGCTCCCACTGCACAGGAACCACTCAACACCTGGGAGGATCCTTTCTCCAGACAGGCATTGACTGGTGCTCCCAAGCCTGACGGGCTGCAGCTCAAGGGACACGTTCTTCACCGTTTTGACAAGGCAGGAAAGCAGCAAGTCCAGATAATTAGAGATTCCAAAAATGTGAGCAAACAGTTTAGAGAGATGCCAATTTTAATGCAAGGAAAATGACTGACGCAGAGACAGCAAGGGGTGTATCTCCACACACGGACAGGGAGCGGAAGGAGAGGAGCTGAGAAACCCAGTCTCATCCCCTGCCAGCTACGGCGGTGGCCAGGGCACGCTGGGCGAAGGCACAAAGGCAGCTGACATTAATATTAAAGAAAGAACCGACTCCTGAGCACGCAAAGCTCACGTGCATCTGGAGTGGGTTCACGTGAGCGGTCACTTGAAACACTCTAGCACACAAGCAGGAGGTAAATAGTACAATAAACCAACAGACACGAAGGCCGGACTAATTGAAATGGGTCAGAAATAAATGCTGCAGAAAACCAGGAAGTATCAGAAGTGTTTTGTATTAAAAGACAGCAGTGGAAAAAAAAATTCAAAGTTTTATTTCTTAACTGAGTATTTCCTATTGCCTGGTTATTGGAAAATTTAAATCATCCTTCTAACAGTTTCTAAAACATAACTTTTATTTTTCCTTAGAAAGAGCCTTAACACAATGTCCATAAATATAGTCTAACAAAAGTAATAAATAACCAAATTAGGAAATCTTTATTTTCTAGAATTAAATGAGCTTACCCAGATCAATAGTTGGCTTCCCCCTCAAAAGCAGTTTCAAACACTCAGGCTTATTATACATACTGCAGTAGTGTAGAACTGTGTTACCCAATGCTGTCTGCTTATCCAGGTTTCCACTAAACACAAATGAAAGAAAAACAACCAAGAAAAGTAAGGTATTCTGTGCTATTTATTCCAGATCATTCTAGATCTAGCATCCCTATGAGTAATAAATATTGATGGTAACACATAAATACCATACTGCACAAATATAAAGTGGTAGGTTAACGTATGTATGTCAACTAAGCAGTGTATCTCTCCCAAAGATTATTAGGAATTATGGTTCCAAGTGTATTGCTGAGAAGCCCTGAACAGTAGCTGAGAATGACTGAGCATCTACAGATGTCCACTCGAGAGAATTAACTTGGATTTACAGCTAATCCTGTGTAAGGTCATGCCTAGCTGATCTCCTCCTGCCATTCAGAATATTCACAGAACGTGTTATTTTACTAAATATGCTAAACTACTCAAAAATACCCCAAAAATCATTTTTGCATAGTTAGAATTCAAATAGGATAAAAAACCTGCATGTATGAGGAACTGTGAAGAAGGGTACGGTGAGGATGCACAAAAGGTTGAAAGGAGGAACAGAAGGCAACACTGAGATCAGAAAAGCTGCACTGTGGACAGGGGCTCTCAGGGCTGCTTTCTTAGCAGCATGCCATAGAAATGGAATGGAATCCATCTCATTTCATCATTACCTGTATGGTGACATATAGGTAACAAAAAGGAAAAAATATAAAGGCCACATATTTACAGGGATATACAAGGCATTTAAATGTGATGTGGGCCATTACATCATTTGATTTTTTTTAAGAAAACATTTTCATCAAATTTTTCTATTCCTGTGAACACTATTCCTGACCACAAAGATTAGCTCAGCCAGTGAATTAGATGTTGAAGATACTAGTTTAAAACAGTAGGCTCTCAAAACTTTTAACACAATTCAGACATCTTTCCAAAGCCAGCCTAACTTTTATCCATTATTTTTGTGAAAGATTCTTGCTTTCCATTCCTATGATTTCTCTGTACTCTGTTTGTCCCTATATTTGCAAGAATTACTGTTTGTCTTTACCTATATTTTTTTGCACTGTTTCATATTTTTGTGTTCCAAAAAGATGCTCTTTTCTCTTATGCTCCAAGTAAGTTTCTCTTTTCATCTTCTTTACATAAAGCTGCCTTTCATAATTTAATTTTAAATTTCTTTATCTATTTTTATTCATTAAACAGTCATTTACTACCTTAAAGTTAATAAAACATGTCCTTTTGAAACATAGGCAAGAATAACGATTAGAAAAGATAAGCAAACTCCATCCAAAGTACCACAAGAATGATTTTGAACATCTACATTTGTCATTCACAACAACGTAATGAAAAATGAGCAATCCATACCAGTTTTGTACAAGGAAGTCAACCAGATGGAGAGAGGTTTGGTCAGCAGTCCGGACTGCTAAATGAAGTGCTGTCTCACCTGGCTCCTAAGCACACACACAAAAAAGATGTTTTTGCAGCTTACTCCTGCAAAGCTTATAATATTATTCCTTCTGCTGAGATGTTAAGTCAGTCTTTTACAATAAATCTTACAGTAAAAAGCTGTTATTAGGAAATTCTAATGAAAACAACTACTGCCTTTCTGATCTCTAAAGACACAATGTGCTATAAGGGTAATAAAACCCCTCTTTTGGCTGTCACGACCCTCTCAAAACCAGGTGTCCCTTGTCCTAGACGAAGGGCAGCACCCTGTGGAGACGTTCTACCACTCCGGGTACTGGAAGAGGTCGTGTCAAGCCAGGAACACAGACAGAGCTTGCAGTATTCAGTGCTCACCAGCGTGTTATTAAGGAACAAGTATGCCCTACAAAAACATTAGTGTGCACATCATGAACAAATACTCAAATCATAATACTATATGCATTACCTCTTTTAAAACTCAACCATGTATTATCTGCTGCACAGGTAGCAGATACAGACATTTATATAGAACTATGAAAGCTGTGTTAATTCTGTTTAGAAACTGTAAGAGAGAAATCAACTTAAAACCAGATTTTATTTTTATTCCCACTAATCACAAATGGCACTAGAGGACATACATTTAAGATTACAAAGCTTTTCCAAAAGTTTGACTTTTAATCAATGTCAGAGAACTTACATGGAAAGAAACTGCTATAAACATCCTAACTCGCAGTTCAACGGGAGGTCATAATTTTCTAGATAGCACTGGGCAACAGCTGAGAAGTTTTAAGGAGTAAATGCCATGGTACGTGTTATGGGTGAGACAAAAATAGAAAGTTTAAGCTGCAGTTAAGAGAATGTGTAATGTGCCTTCCCAATGTGCACGTTATGCTACTTCAAATGCTTAGATCATGCTGAACTCACATCCTCCATTTTATATGTCGTGCTTTGTCCTCTGCTAACTCAACCACTTCCACAGAACTTCTCCAAAAAAAAAAAAAAAAAAAAAAAAAAAGGATATTTTTCCAATTCAGCAGTTTAAAGCAAAGTTTCACAGTTGGGTTCAACACTAACAGGAGAAAACTCTGCTGACAATGATGCTGACACAGCATCACATTTACTCTTGAGCAACATTTCCACATGGATTTGAGGTAGTTATCTCAAACAAGCTCAAGTGATTTTCAGAGCAAAAGGCTTCAGCAAGAACCGCAATGACTTTTACAGGGAAAAAAATCTTTTTGTGAGTGTGGGAAAAAAACATATTTCTTTAAATAGTTTATCACAAACTGTACAGGAAGTAGATTTACCATTTTTTCATATAGAATCAGCAGAGATTTGTATAGTGTGTGCCACCTCATGCCATTTCAGTTTTGTTTTCCTTTGGCAACTGCTATTAAAGCAGATGTGATATGGCCTTTGGTACCACCTGACCCTAGGATATCAAGTCAAGCCCTCTCTCTTTAGGCTTCCTTTCCTCAAAGGAAACGTGCTGCAGAGCCGCTATAGCTGCACCTAATGCCTATGGTCCTACTGTTGCATTTTCACACAGTCAGACTAATCTGTGGTGTGTTCTCTACCCAAAAGGATGTCATGTTAGAGAAAACAAGTAAAACACATCATTGTTCACCCGATCCGCTTACCTGTCCAGGCTCTATCAGCGGCTCCATTAGCTCTACTCCCTCTGCATAGACTTGAATTAGTGCAAGTAAATCCCTGGATTTGACAGCCTCAAGTAATTCATTCAGCTTAGCTGCTGCAGACGCACAGGTCTTCCTAGAGAACTTGTGATCTACGTATTTAGCAGTGATAAACTCCTTCCGCGCAGTCCTGTGGGTGTGAAAACAGAATTTGCTTTAGCAGTCCTGTGAAATGGGCTCATGATTTAAATTTAAATAATCTTACCTAAAATGTAAATTCAAAATGAAGTTCACGACTACCTGATAAAGACACTTACTTATTATTACCATAACACATGTTTCTTCCTGCTCAAAATCAGATATGTGTTTAATTGTACCTTGTGTTGTCATTACCTATGAAAGTCACCCAAGAAACACTGAGGCAGGTACAAATTGAACCGTTTGCCAACAAAACCACATCCATTATGTGGTCTGTGCACCTTCTACGCCAGAGAACAGGATGCTCTCAAGGCAGTAGGAGAGCTGGCGTTATTCGCTCCAACACTTTTTATTGTGCAAGGCTGTACTATCAAAATGGAAAATGTTCAAGATACTTTAAAACAATTTCTGGAAAGCCAAACTTACGGTATGTGAAAACTAACATCCTACATGGAGAATCCAAGGGAGCTAAAGCGAGATGATGAGGCAAAAGGCTAATGTCTAAGAAGCTCAAAAGTCTGAAGAAAGAAACAAAAACAAACAAAAACACCCACACAATTTCCTGCCACCTTAGTTCTCCTCTAACTTGCCTACACTTGACTATAACTTAAGACTTTTAAGAACCACATACGCATTTGGCAGAAAAATCAGTATTAAAAAAATTACAAGGTTAAAACTTACATATCACTTGATGGACTGGGTTTAGGTGAAGGACTAGGTAAATTCCCTTCCATAATATCATTAAAACTATTATTTCCTACATTCTTGGCCAGCTGGAAAGAAAAAGAAAAAAAAATTTTTTTGAATGGACATAAGGTTATGCACATTTCTTCACTACTACTAAACTACCTGATACAAAGAATTGCAAAATAAAAGCACAATAGTTATATTTAAATGTAAAGCAGTTAAAAATTTTTTAAAATGTAAGCCCCATTATCCTAGCACATGTTAAAAAATAAGTTTTATTGTTGAGTTGTATTTCAAAATAGTCCGTCTCAGATATAAAAACACAGTGATGAACTAGCAGCACAAACAGCTCTAGGAATTACTTTTGGAAAAGAAGTTCAGACATATTAGAAATCCTTACTTAGCAGAATGAGATTTAACTCAATAGTTAGCTCCTAAATGAATAATAAGCCTCCTAAAGTTGTTTAAGAGCAACTGAAGATTTCCAAAAAGGTAAAAGGGCTAGGGATCAGTACATACCTATACATAATCTATACATAAATTACCTTCTATCTTCCTTATATTTTCCTGTGCAAAACTTCATTAATAAATCACTTTTCATCAGTCAAGCAAAATTGAGGAAATAAACTTCTCTAAGTTTTTTTGATAAATATAAGACACACACTTGCTTGACTCCTTTTTTTTCTTTTGTCAGATTAGAAGACTCATCTTTTTTTCCCATCAAAATTATACTATTTTATTACCATCTTTCATCACATAATATTTTGTACTCTCCTGATTGGAAGTCAAGATTGGCTAATGAGAAGTAACATTCAGCTGCTCCAATCCGTGAATATTCAATTTGTAAAAACTCAGGGAATTAACATGAAAAGTGGTAAATGGATAGAAGCATCAATAATACATAGTACTAAAAAAAAATCTTAATACAGTATTTATAAAAATATGAACAATGTGTTCTGAAAAATCAGCATCTTGAAAATAATTTACAGTAAGTTCTAAATCTGAATGTTTCTTACATATATATAGGCTGGGAGTAAAGAAGAAAAAACCCAAAACAAACAAACAAGAAAAAAAAAAAAAAGAAAAAGAAAAAGCAGCTTACCAAGAGTTCAGACGTTCCTAGTTTGTCTAATTCCAAAGACTGGATTCGAGAAATATGGACACCCATTTCTCTGTGTATTCCAGAACACTCTATGCACGTTAAAATGCCCAAATTAGTTGATAGCCACGTTGGATCTGTAGAGTTGAAAGCAAAAGTATTTAAAGAAAGTTCAACCAGAAGTTTTCAATATCTGTAAGAAATTGCTGTATTCCTCATTTAAGATTTAAAAAAATGGAAGTGAAATATGAACATCTAATCTTTGATCCAAACTCTGGTGTGAATTTAAGCAAACATTGATGCCAGTGGAATTAAGTCTCTCAGACTGGGGACAGTCACAAAAGCACTGCATTTAAATTTCCATGTCCATCCTGCACCTTTCAATGTGAATTGTTTTAAAAATTGCTTCTTGTAGAAACAAGGCAGGTTTTTGCTTCCTATTTTCAAAAGGAACAGGTCAACTAAATTCCACTCTTGGCAAATGCTGAACTTTTTATCTTTACAACTTAAACTTTCAATAGTCTTTATTCATAAAGAATTAAATATAATATTTCCTGTGTGTAATATAGCTAACAAATTAAAGGAAGCCTAAGGAAATTTGGGACCAGCATGACAATAAAAACTTGCACCATCATGGAGATCTGCATGCAAAATTGGAATAGATCTTATATTGTAGCTTATTATGTAGCATTCCTAATGTTTTGAAGAAGAAAAAAATCCTCTAGATAGATTATATATATAAACACGTCTTCAAATTGTCTTCCTGGATCTTAGTTAGTGACTGGTAAAGTATTAAGTCAAGAGTTTAAAGCAGCAGGCTGAGGTGGGGAACCTGAAACTACTATCACTTCTCTCCCCTGAGAGCACAGCAAGAACCTTGTTAATGTGGAGGTTGGGAACTTAAAACCTCACTATAAATTAAAGCATGAATTAGAACTGTATTTGAAAGTAGCTGTAGATTTACATGAGGTAACTGAATGAACCAATTCAAGGATTTGGCATAATGCTTTTTTTCTCCCCCTCAATCTGCATCAGTTTTATGTCAGTAAATCTCTTCTGAGGAAACACACCATCACCTCAGTTCACATTATCGGCTTCTTGATATTACAGCTCTAAAATCTAAACAAACTCTTCAGCTACCATACAAATTCAGTAGTTTTAGAAGAATTTAACTGTTCTGAAGCTTTAAGTGGCATACGGCTGGCTTGTAACTGTATTTCTGAAGATATAATGTGATAGGACTCCAGCTCTGGGTCTCCACTTCCTTTGCAAGAGACCACTTATTCCAACCATGAAGTTTTTGATACTCCCATTCTAATGGGAGTGATATCCTGGCCTGGTCAGTTTTTGCCACAGTCGTTGTCTAAGCATTACCCGCTCCTACTTAGTAGTATGCACAGGATCAGTGATGCCAAGCAACTTCCACGCAAGTGCAACAAGCATCTAGAGTGCAATAAGAACAGTTCAAACTCCAGAAGGGCTTGAACTGCTTCAAGTAGGCACAGACAACACACAAAAGTATTTCAGTGAATTAAACAAAACTAACGTATGAAAGTCAGTAGTTGCTCTTTTAAATTGGTTGAAGACTGATCAACATATCACTTAGAAAATTAGTTTGCACTCTGCGAACACTTCAAAGAGATTATTTTGCTCACAATGGGCAGAGGACTAACAAATTGAGATACCTGGTGAGCCACAGTCACAGCAGACTTCGTTGCCGGGCAGTCTCTGTATGTCGTCTATAATGGCTTTGGTCAGATCCTCCAAGCTGTTTTCCCCTGTGCTTTGCTCTCCACGGAATGCCATATTTAATGCTTCTTCTTTGCTGTTGGTCAACACTGATATCCACCTAGTACAGAATAAAGATATCAGTGAAAATTTGCATTTGTAAGTACAAGCGAATCTAGAAACTGTAGGAAGCTTGCCAGGAACAAAATATGAGTGAAATAGAGGGAAGAGCTGTATTGTCGGTGAGACACAGTGGGACTCAAAAGGAAAGAAGTGAGATTGAGAAAAGCCAAAAAGCAAATACATAATTTTAATATTGTTTTGATGAAATACTTAAAACGAGTTCTCAAGTTCTACTGTAGAGTTTGGGAAGAAAAAGGGTCCGACAGCTCCTGCTCCCTCCGGCACGTGCCCCCAGCAAACAGCTCCAGTAAATTTAGCTGCCTAACGAGCAGGTGCCTGAGACCTTCCTACAGTCTGTCCTGCTACTAGAGGTGGAAGCTCCAACGGCTGCTCCCTCCGGCACGTGCCCCCAGC